TAACATGTTTAGGCCGATTTTCGACAATAACTGTCATTTATTTGGATCAGCGACCAATACACATCTAAACAAACTTGAAGTTCAAAAAAATAAATGCCTGAGATTATGCCTAGGTTATTTAAAATCCACTCCAGTCCAAATAATGGAAAATGAAGCGGTGAAACCTCCATTGCATTTACGCCGCCAATTCCTTAGCGACAAATTTACAGTCTGAATTATGTCCAAAAATTGTAAATACCTTCAAGATCTTAATGAGCTATCAGTTTTAGACCTTACCCATAGGTACTGGACAACTAAAAAATCTATACCTTTGGTAGAAAGCTATGTAAGTACTGTAAAATACAACGATATTCTGTATAAAAGTCAAATTCCGCCCTACTATGGTGAAATGGCCAAAACACTATTTTCTAGAAAAATTAGGATATGTTACTTATTCTCACATTTACTCCCAAATATGTTTGATAATCCCTAATTATTAAAGAAAAATGGACAAATTACCAGTACATTTTTACTGATGGGTCAAAAGATGCAAATGGAACGGACTGTGCAATGTTCCACGAAAATAAAAATTGCCATCATCAGTATAGCTTACCCAGTGAATACTCAATATATACAGCAGAAATGATGGCAATATTGTTTGCTCTTCAGTATGTAGTACAAAATACTAGCAACTATGTTATATTTACTGACAGTAGAAGCGTAGTAGACAGATTTAACAACATACAACAAATTACATGGATCAAGGGCCATTCGGGAATAAAAGGCAATGAGATCGTTGACAATTTGACTAAATCGGCATATATGCTTGGAGTAAAAGTAAAGAAAAATTTAATTCCAGCGACAGATATTGACACCGTTAGTAGACAAAAACTTAAAAATAATTGGCATTTACATTACACAGAATGTAAGACTGGCTTAAATTTTTATAATTGTAACACTAGGATACCCTCAAGAAGATGGTTCTACACAGAATCTAATCGACATTTTATAAAGACCATTAATCGGCTGCGAGCAAATCATGCTCTTACGCCATCTTACATGCATGGAATCGGCTTATCAAATACTTCCAATTGTACTTTGCAAAATAGGCGATCTAACACATATTATATTAGAATGTGATTTACAAGTTAATAATATAAACGAACTTTATAAGGAGTTAATAAATTCTAAGTGTTGTTTTCCAATAAACCTTAATCTTTTAATATTTTCAAATAATATGGAAATTCTTCATTGCATTTACAAACATGTTAAAATGTGTAATTACAAGATGTAAATAGTATATAGGCATAATCCGTTAATATGGTTTGAAAAAAAAAACAAAAAAAATTATAACACAAATAAAGAAAAAAAAACAAAAGAATTAAGAAAATAGAAATAGAACAAAAAACAAAAAAAAATAAATACAAAAAAACAAAAAAAAAAAACAACAAAACAAAAAAAAACAAAACAAAAAAAGAAGATAATAAAAGAATAAAAAAAAGAAACAAAAAAAAATATATCAAAATATAATTTATGTATAAATATTAGGTATATGTAGTACTAACATTGATAACTTATAGCAAGAAAATTTTGACTATGAATTTGCAATCACTAATAATTAAAATTCAGTATTTTACCAATAAAAACAAACAAATCTGACTAATTGGCTCTGCCAAAGCCATATTACAGAAAAAAAAACTTAAATATAGCGTTTTAATTTAATGAACTAACCAAATGAGTATGGTAAAAATAAATTCACTCACAATTAGGCTATGTCAAGTTATTATCATCATCATCAACCTGAATTATTCCACTGCTTGGCATAGGTCTCCCTAAGCTCTTTCTGTCTCTGTCGTGTGCGGCTTGCATCCTTATTGCTAACACGCTTCAGGTCATCAGTCCACTTAGTTAATGGGCATCCTCTGTTCCGTATTGCTTATTGGCTTGATCTCCAATCTAAAATAAGTTTTGTCCATCAATTGTTTAATAATCTGGTGACGTATTCTGCCCCATTCCATTTTATTAACGCTTTTTTTAAGACGTGTTTTTTCGTTTGGAATTAGGTCTCTCAAAGATACACCTAACATCTTGGCTACATAATCCTCTAAGTCACGAGAATGTGTAGTACTTTTTTTGTGAGTGTTAATGTTTCCGCTCCATAAGTGGGTACAGATAACACACATTGGTCAAAGATTTTTCCTTTAAAACATCTTGGTAGGTTTGATTTAAATACATAGTTTAGTTTACCAAACGTTGCTCAGGCTAATCCTATTCGACGTGGAATCCTTCCATCAACAGCAATATTTCGATTTAGCACCAGGTTATTCATTATTTGCGTCTTATTCATATTAATCTTTATTCTGACCTCCAAGGATCGTGATATAATTTTTCAAATATTATTACTGCATCATCCGTACGATCGGCTATAAGGACGATGTCATCAGCTAATCATAAATGACTGAACTCCTCTCCATTTATGTTGATACCATGCTTGATCAGATGTGCCTTCTTCCAAGTACGTATGTTCTAAAATCGTCGTAAATAGCATTAGAGAGATGGTAACTCCTTGCTGTACTCCTCGTTGTACCTATATGGAATTTATTTGTTTCTTGTTCAGCTAGTCTTACGCTATCTTTGGCATTTTGGTAAATATATTTGATTACGGTAGTGTAGCGATGATCTATTCGGCATTCTGTCAATGCTTTTAACTTATTCTCATGGTTTATGATATCAAATGCTTTCTCGTAGTCAATAAATATCAGTTCTAATTGTTTTTTTATTCTGCAGTCTTTTATATTAAGTTCTTTATCACCTGTTAGTGGTCGTTAGTACTGTATCCGAATCTAAGTCCAGCTTGTTCTCTTAGCTGATAGAAGTCTAACTTACCGTCCAGCTTTTTTTTTTAATTTTTGTAAAAAAGTTTACATATGTGTGAAAGCAAACTAATAGGACGGTAAATTTTTAGATCTATTATGTCTCCTTGCTTGTGTAATACAATAATGACTACATTGTTCCATTGAGAAGGAATTTTTTCCTGGTAGGTGCATTCGTTGAAAAGCATATTTATGATTTATTTTTATTTCTAAAAGAGCATTTTTGATTTTATGTGGAGTTTTTTCTGGAATTAATTCTAATCCCTGAACTACCTACTATAAAAGTAGAAGATTCAGATCCAACAAACCACCCGCAGGAGCAAGCAACAATTCACCATTAGAGCCTCCGTCAATTCAAGAAGTACGAGATGCAATAAAACACCTAAAAAACAATAAATCTCCAGGAAGTGATGGTATACCCGCAGAACTTATTAAATGTGGAGGTGTTACTATGACTAATCAAATATATAAAATAATACTGAGAGCCCGGAATGAGGAACAAACCCCGGAAGAGTATTGTATTGGAATTGTTTTCCCGCTACACAAAAAGGGTGACCAATTGGAATGTAGAAACTATAGGGAATAACCCTCCTTAATACAGCATACAAAATATTTTCGAGGATCTTATATGGTCGCCTAAGTGCATATTCAGAAGAACTTTTAGGGGAATATTAAAGTGGTTTTAGGCCTAGTCGACCAACAATAGATCAGATATTTGTGCTAAGGCAAATACTGCAAAAAAACAATTTATTCAATATCGATACATACCATCTTTTTGTAGACTTCAAATCTGCCTATGATAGTGTCCTAAGAAATAAATTGTATGAAGCTATGAATGAATTTTACATCCCCGATAAACTGATAAGATTCGTTAAGGCTACAATGCGTAATGTGGTTTGCAAAGTCGAAATACAGGGCGAACAATCACAGGCGTTTGAAACGCATGTTGGGCTGCGACAGGGAGACGCGCTGGCGTGTCTCCTTTTCAACATAGCACTGGAAAAGGCGATCCGAGATGCCCGAATAGACAACAGAGGAAATATTTTTAATAAATCATCTCAAATTTTGGCACATGCAGATGATGTGGATGGATGGATGGATGCCCGCAAGATGATGGCATCAACACCCAACAATAGAGTCAGAAACATCGGTCCCCAATTCACAGTTGATAACTCTACCTTTGAAGTGGTGGACAAATTCACATACTTGGGCTCCCTGATCACCAAAGAGAACGCCATAACGAAGAACTCAAGCGTAGGATAATAATGGCGAACAGATGCTATTTTGGACTGAGTAGACATATGAGAAGTAGAAACATAAGTCAAAAAACAAAAATAACCATATACAAAACCCTTATACAGCCAGTGTTGACATATGGATCGAAGACATGGACCATCTCCAAGGCAGACGAAGACTTTCTGCTTATATTTGAACGAAGGATCCTGAAAGGAATATTTGGTGGCATCTGTGAAATTGGTGTTTGGAGGAGGAGATACAACTACGAGGTATACCACAGATATAAACAAATATTTGGTGGTAAAGACGTAGTATCTCTTGTAAGAATAGGAAGACTAAGATGGGCAGAACATCTAGCAAGATCACAGCAGAGCAACCCTCCTAGAAGAATCCTTATCTCACAACCCGTGGGAAGTAGAAAAAGGGGTAGGCCAAAACTCAGATGAAAGGATGGTGTAGATGAGGATGGTAGAAAGATAGGCGCAGCAAACTGGCAACGGTTGGCAATGGATAGGACTGCCTAGCGTAATAGACTTGGGAAGGTCGAGGCTCTTTCATAGGGCTGTAGTACCACTGATGATGATGAATTCTAATCCCTGGTTTGTGATTTTGGACAGGGGATGATCTTGCCTTTCGTCTGTGCCCTCATACGTTTCAAAAGATATATAAATATAAAGGATATAAAAAACCATCAATGCTCATCTATTTACTCCATTTGGTTCCCTATTATTGATATAACATAAAAAACGGTATCCTTGACATTTGAAGCATGTGAACTCCTAATCTAGAATTGGTTTTACATTTTAGCTTCAAGTACTGTAGATATTATGATAATAAATCTGATAATAGTCATTATCCCAATGATTTTAATAAAATAATATATAAAAGAACGTATTATTTATTGCAATAATTAATCTGTTAATTTTTGAGCACCTATAAGAAAAATATAAAACTTCGGTAAGTATAACAAACATTTAGCGCTTAAAAATATTTTTTACATATAGGTACGATACATTTTAGTATAATTAATAGAGCCAATAATTTTATAAAATTTATAGATACTGTCTTCGCATAAGTGAAATACAAAGAGAAAATGAAGGTTATTTTTTGTTTGCTGGGGGTTGTTACCTTAGTAGTGAGTACTCCAGGTAAGTAGATCATTTTTTCTAACATCCACATATCTTTGTAAAACGATTTATTTTAAAAATTAAGCAATAAATTTTGCTATAATAATATTTTAAATAACATAGTTATAATCTCTTACATGAGTTTTATTAACTGCTTTACAATGTATTTTACACTTCTATCTTCTTACCTAACTTTCATCAAAGTTTAGACAGTGGTACTTTAAAAGTTGAAAATTTAGTTTTAACCGTGTGCCTTCAATGAACTCTGTAGTTTGTCGTCCCAAGTGTGCCCAGTGTATTTGGAGCTGAGGGACTTTGATGATAATGGCAAATGAGTCATAAAGAAAAATAAATAAAAATAGAAGTCCCTTGAAATGGATAATCAAGTCTTCTTCTATTTGAAGTGTTGCGTCTTGTGTCTTGCGATTATTTTTGATTGTTTCCAATTTTATATTCAGATTATCTTTCCATCTTTTTTTTTTTAATTTCCTTCTACTGTTTGATGATCATTTTCGTTCTGTTTTGATTACTTTCTGGCCTAAAAAGGTATTTGCCACCTAGAATTTAGTGTCTCGCAATCATCAAAAATTTGTTACACTGTTTTAGGTTTGTCGCGGACGGTGACTTTTGGCACTTCTATGGTCGGCTTTAGGCCGAAGTATTTTTTAGCTGATCGTGTTCTGACAAGTTTGTCAGCTATTTCATTGTCATATTCTCCGATGACTTAGATCCCATACCAATTTATAATATAATAAATATTAACCAATTCTTGAGTGTTGTTTTTAAAGAATGTGTATATAGTTTTGGGATTAATTTTAATTAAATAATAGTGTATGTTTAAACCGTAACCAATACAAAAGTTTGTTTTTTTTTATTTTAGTGAACCAGGAAGACTTACAGAAATACTATCTCCAAGGATCGATTCCATGCCCGTTCAAGGAAGCCATCAATTATAATGTCTCTTCCGATGATATTAAAGTATATTTTAGAAACAAACAACATCCTGACAGTTCAGTACCAATAGACATTAATCAGAGTTCGGAAGTCGATGCGTTAGGATTTTCACCAAATAAAGTAAGATAAAAAAACGATTTTCTTACATTTCTTGATGTTTACGAAGCATAACGCTTATTAAAATATTTATTACATATTTAACGTTTTCTGTATTCTATGTACCCTTTGGTTTTGATTAGGTTATTTCACCGACTTACTTTTGCTTGCTCTAAATCTCCTAATGCCTAATTTTTTTTTTATTTACAATTAAGGCGCATCAACCTAAGTGGTTATTAGCGCCGCTTGGTATTACAATTTTCTTTTACATTTTTTTTAGACATAGATTAAATATAGACATAGACATAACATAGATAGAGTTTTACATACATAAATCTGAGTTGAAGTACATTGGTTAATAGAAGATTACACATTTATTTGTACAGACACTGATGTTAAATTTTGTTGTATATTCCAATTGGTTTTAGAAAACTTAAAACAGACTTGAATATACACAGTTTTCTTGTAGACACTCGCGTAGCGTTGTCGGTAAGTTACACTTTTGCCTCTCATTTAAATATGCCGGGCATTCGATTAAATAATGTTTGACACTTAAACTGTTGAAACACTTACTGCACATTGGATGAACACTTCCAGTAATAAGGTATTCGTGTGTTAAGCGTGTATGTCCTAATCTCAATCTGTTTATTATAATTTGGTCTTTTTGTTGCTACACATATTCTTCCATCTTGTAACAGTTGTTTTTATGTCTCGTAGTTTTTGTTGAGATTGATTCCATTCTTGAAGCCACTGTTCTTTTAATGTCGAGTTAATCCAGAGATAAAAATCTTTCTTATAGGTAGATTCTATCAAGTCTTCGTTGTTAACTGAAGATTTGGCGGCAGCATCTACTCTTTCATTACCTTCTATACATGTATGTGATGGAATCCATATAAATTTTACAATCGCATTCTTTAGCTGAAGTTGGTACAAATGGTTCTTTATCAATCGCAACAATGGATGAGTTGGGTAAATGGTGCCTAAGCTACTCATGGAACTTAAGGAATCTGTTATTTATTAGGCACCTGTCTAAGTTGGCGTCCAGTGCATATTCTAATGCTTTGTAGATTGCGAATAGTTTCTCCTGTATATACTGTGCTAAAATTTGAGATTTTGTATGAAGCAGTGTAGTCGTTGTATATGAAGGCACATCCACTCTTTTTTCTGATTTGGAGGAATCAGTATAAATTGTTGGTATTTCTGGTACTCATCAATCTTACTATAAAACCTTACTATAAAACCTTACCTAACGTAATTTTTTGTTTTCTATTTTATCCTTTTTACATTCTGTCTTGTGTCTTATTGCCAATACATTGTTTCTTTTCCTCAAGGGAGGGTACAGCACCGATTTTCGGGGACATGAACCGGAATGCCATTAAGACATTCAAAATTTTTCGTTTTTAAAGTATTTTTATTTGTTTAGCAACCAAAAATCAGCAAATTTTAACCTAAACCCTCATGAAGTCCAACAAGTACAAAAAAATAAATGTAGTTTAGTTTATGAGATTAAAATGGCATAAATAAAAAGCGAATAATGGTACTCAGGTTTAGGGATTCACGTGTCATTTTTGCAGTAGTTTATTCCACGCCTTATTATTATTATTATAATAATATGTTATTAAATATATTATAGATATATTTTAGCAATTTCATTTCTCTTAGCTGCCGTGTTATAAAATGATATTACTGACTCTATTGTTCCCACTGTTTCTGATGGACGATGTTCAAAGATAGTTGAACACTCCTTAACGGAGCGGTACCTATCTGAGCCGCAATCTATAACCAACCACCCCTCCCCATCGCAGGACAAAAAATGGAAAAACTTTAGTACTGAGCGTTCCTGCCCTATATAGGTGATAGGACATCCTCTATTTTACTTTATGTGGTAAGGCCACCTGGTAACTAGACGAGATTTTCTCCCTATGACTGATTGCATTTGATATTTAACTTACCACCACCTAGATGGTCTGGCCACCGAGATCAAACTTGTCACACGTGACCTCGATGCTCAGGTTACGCGACTGTATGTCCTATGACGTGCCTGGGGAGCTGTTCTGCCTGAAGGGTGATAGCTTGAGGGATGTCTTTATGTTTGTGCCTCAGAATTCACTCGATGTGGTTGCATCGTTGGCATTGCTGCTGTAACAGAGACACACGTGGAATTTTCTTTCTAATTGCCACATACGCAACGTGTCCATTTAATTTAATCTGTTTCGTCTTTTGGGTATTCTAAAAATACCAAGATATTTTATCGGACATCATCAATTATATCCACTTGATTACTTATTTATCTAATGGGTACTTATAGAATCTATTTCTATTTATTAAAATATAGTGTAAAAAAACCAGAGACTCTCGAGTAAGGCATTCTATTGATAACGTTTACAAAAGATATTTATTTTTTATTGTATTAAGAAACAAATAAGTACTTAAGGGACAAAAATTTGATAACGAGAATAACAAACTTGGGAGTGCTTGAATGATTGCGTACCATATTAATCTTACCTCAGTAAAAATTTATGTTATGCGATGTTACCCTGTATTTCACTATGTATGTATAAAAAAGGAAACAAACTTCTCTGACCCTGTTTCTCGACAGATAATTACCTGTATTTAAATGAAAACAATTTCACCAGATATCTGTTAAAAAATTATTTAATTTGCGTAAAACTACTTACAGATATTTGAAGATTCTAAAAGGTATATGAAGGGTACCTGATTGCAAATTGTTGAAGACAACTAACTGATTTTGCTTTAATTTTTTCTGTGTTTGGTTTAAATTAAAGTTGTAGATCATAAAAAAGTTTTGTATTTGGAGTGTTTTCAAATTAAAATACATAACTAATTAACCGAGATGATTGCAAAAGACCGCCTCTATTCGTTTTATGGCATCTTCTGCAAGGATCCAGCTTTTTACTTTATAAAGGAGAGCACTAAAGACTTAACATCTAAGAATTATTATGCGTACATTAATACTTAAAGATGGGTTTCAGAGAATCTTCCTTAGGCTGTTAAAAAAGCTTCTAGCTTTTTCAATTCAAGTTTATATTTCGTAGCTGTGATCCCAATTATCCTTAATATTGCAGTCCAAACAGCATATTTTTCCACTCTTTCTAACAGTGTTTCACCTATTGTAATTTGGGTGTTTATGTTGGTGTTCTTACTTCTTTTTCTTCTTTAAGTTCCATCTTCTATCGAAGGTTGGAAATCATCATAGCTATGCGGACTCTGTTGACTGCCGCTCTAAAAAGTTCAGCGCTACTGCATTCAAACCATTCCCTTAAGTTCTTAAGCCAGGATATTCTTCGTCTTTCCACATTTCGCTTTCCTCGGATTTTGCCCTGCATAATAAGTTGTAATAATGCGTATCTTTGCCCTCTCATCACATGTCCCAAGTACTCAAGTTTTCGTCTTTTAATCGTTAATATTATTTCCGCCTCATTTCCTATCCTTCTATTTACTTCAATGTTTGACATTCTTTAAATCCATGATATTCGTAGGATTCTTCTGTAACACCAAAATTCAAAGGCGGCCAACTTATTCAGATGAACTTGTTTTAGTGTCCAAGCTTCCAGACCATAAAGAAGAGTCGAGAACACGTAACATCGAAGCATTCTCAGGCGTACTTCTAACCTTATATCTCGACAACAAAGAAACTTTTTAAGTTTAATAAATGATGTACGTACTATTTCAATACGTGTCTTAATTTCTTTGGTTTGGTCTACATCTGATGTTATCCATGTTCCTAAGTATTTATAGTTATTAACACTCTCAATTGCAGTATCTTCAAAAGTCAATTGGATATTTGCATGTGCAGATTTAGTCATGATCATGCATTTAGTTTTCTTTAAATTTATCTTCAGTCCGTACTCATGACAGCGTTTATTAAGGCGTTGCATTACGTTCTGTAAATCATTGTTGTTATCCGTAATTATTACTGTATCGTCTGAAAAACGTAAGTTATTCAAAACTTCTCCATTGATAGATATACCTTTTATTGAGTCTGAGAGCGCTTCTTAAAATACCGCTTCACTGTAGACATTGAAAAGTAGTGGGGACAGCACACAACCCTGGCGGACTCCTCTCTGTATTTTGATATTTTCGGTGTACTGGCTGTCAACTCTTACCTTGGCAGTTTGATTCCAATATAAATTAGATATAATTTTCAGATCACGACTGTCAATATTTTTGCTTTTTAATATATCTACAAGCTTTTTATATTGAACTTTATCAAATGCCTTTTCAAAGTCTACAAAATATAAGTAAATATCCTGATTCATATCCGTGCATCTCTGAGCCAGCACATTCAAGCCGAACAAAGCATCTCTTGTACTCATACCATTTCTAAAGCCAAATTGTGTGTCACTAATCTCATATTCAAGAGTTTTAACAATTCTGCTGAGAATTATTTTCAAAAATGTTTTAAGTGTGTGACTCATTAAAGCTATGGTTCTGTGGTCTGAGCAAGTTGTTGAACTTGGTTTTTTGGGAATTGCTACAAAAGTTGATTGCAGCCATTCAGAGTTCAAACATTACATCAATAACATCTTCATCGATGAGTTTTAATAATTCGATGGACAACTCATCTGCTCCAGTAGCTTTACCCTCTTTTGTGTTTTTGATGGCATAGATGACTTGTCTTAATATTGTGGTCCAGCATCCTCAATGATTTCTAATGACAGTTATTCTCTTTCATCATTAAATAGTTGTTGAATGTAATTGGTCCAGTGACATAATCTCTCCTTCATATCAGTAATAATATCCCCTTTATCATTTTTAAGAATATTCGTTTTTGTACGCTTTCTAGAACCTGTCATTTCTTTGATTTTTTTGTGTTAATTAAAGTTATCGCACTTTTTATCCAGATCTTCTATTTTCTTGTATCTATCAGAAAGCCACCTCTTTTTTGCCTCTCGAATTTTCTTTCTGATGTTTCTCTGAATTTCTATGTATTTATTCAGGTCTTTTGCTTTATGTTTTCTTCGTTCTTCCATGAGTTCAAGGATTTCTACTGTCATCCAAGGTTTTGTTTTTGCTTTTCAAATGCCTTCTAGAAATTAATGAAACGTGCATACACATCGCAGTTGACATACTTGGCTCTCTGTATTAGAATTTGCAAACTAAAAAGTGCTTCCCTCGTTCCGAGGTCTGCTTTGAATCCAAATTGAACTTCACGCAGGTATTCTTCAAAATGGTCAAAAACCTCCAAATCTAAAAGGAATAATATTTCATTCAAAATGTCTCGTATTACCTTTTACTTTAGAATTTTAGCAATATAAGAAGAAGCTCATCTTGTATTTAACATTTCGTAATGTGGTGCAAAACCGACTTCCAGGGAGAATCTTTCTAATTGAAATAGCTCTGATGATTGCCATAGTGGAGATTGCGGCTGAAGAAGAAGAGGAATAGATTGTTAAAAAAATAGAAATAGTAATGGTATTATTAGTAATAGTAATGTTGATAGATATTTTATCATCTTTCAAATATGCCTCCGCAGAGTAATAAAAATATCATGGACTGATAGAATTACAAATAAAGAAGTGCTGGAGGGGGTTAGTAAAGAAACAGATCTAATCACCACTATACAAACCAGAAAACTGTAATATCTAGGCCACGTAATAAGGGGACCAAAATATGAAATTTTGAGACTAACAATACAGGGAAAGATTCAAGGAAGAAGATCTGTTGGCCAAAGGCAAAACTCATGGTTAAAGAATCTACGTGATTGGTATCAATGCATGAGACCCTCACGAGCAACACTGTATCGTCTGTATATCTAATATTGTTTATATTTTGGCCATTATAGCAATCCCATCTTCTGATTCATCCAAGGCCTCTCTAAAGATGTTTTCAGAGTATGTGTTAAATAATGCCGGTGACAATATGGAACCCTATCTAACTCCTTTTTTTGACTGTGAAGATCTCGGACAGTTCATTTTCTAATCGCACTGTTGCTTTTTGTTAGAAACATAAGATTAGTCTTGTATCCTTCTTCTTCTCCATAACGTGCCCTATTAAATCCCCTTGACGTTGGCGATTAACATGGCGAAACTGTCTCTGTCTTAAGCTATCCTAAATAGTTGCTCAGCTTTCTTTACTCCTGTTAACTCCCTGATATTCTTCAACCAAGAGGCCTGCTTTCTACCAATTCCTCTGCGTCCTTCGATTTTACCCATCATAATAGGTTGAAAAATATTATATCGGTCTCCCCTTACTACGTGTCCAAAATAGGCCATCTTTCTACATTTGATGTTATCAAGCAGCTCGCGAGCAGCATTTGCTCTCTCAAGGACTGTCACATTTGTCAGCATAGCCGTCCATGGAATTTTCAGTATACGTCTGTGCAGCCACATTTTAAAAGCTTCCAGACGATTAATGGTGGATATTTTTAATGTCCATGCTTCGACACCGTATAAGAGGACTGACCAAATGTAGCATTTAACCATGCGCTTTCGAAGTTGAAGTTGCAAGTTACCATTACAGAAGAATGACCACATTTTTAAACATGTCGTGCGGGCTATCTCGATTCTACATTTTATCTCTTGATCTGGATCTAGTTGTTCAGTCATATGGCAACCAAGATTTTTAAAACTGGACACTTTTTGAATTATCTTTGAATTATATGTATCCTTACCGTCGAGTTTTGATGTTTTAAGGATATCGATTAGTTTCCCATGTGGGACTTTAACAAATGCTCCTCGAAATCAATAAAACATGCATATTCATCGTAGTCAGCATCCCTGGTTCTCTGTATTAGAAGTTGCAAACTGAAAAGTGCTTCCCTCTTTCCGAGTCCTGCTCTGAATCCAAATTGAACTTCACTTAAAGTACATGGCTCATCAAATTAATTAATCTATATCTTTCATGTTTTTTATACTTTCTAGCGTTGGTTTTTTTATGAAGTGGAATGGATATTGATAGTAGCCAGTTTTTTGGTAAATAACCAGTATCGTAGATAGCTTCGTAAGAGCTGTGATTTGTTGTGCCTCTAACAGCTTTAAAATTTCACCATGCACCTCATCAGGTCCTGGTGATTTCCTGCTATTTCTGGACCGTAGGGATTGTTTATTTAAGTCGGACTTCTTGCTGCATCTCCGAATAATTCTGGCATATATTCTTTCCAGATATTTTAAATACCTATTTTTATTGCAAGTCATGAAATCTTCGTAGAATTAAAAGGTATTTTTATTACACTATCGAATTTTAGGATACCATGTTTATTGTCCACGGATGGCACAATGGTCACGACTCCCCCGTATGTGATGTGGTATCCAAAGCTGTACTACAGAACAACGACATAAACGTTTTCTTAATCGATTGGAACGCTATTGCCCGCAACCTTTACGTAGTAGCCTACAAAGCAGTTCCAGAGGTCGGTAAATTACTAGGAACTCTTATTAGAAATTTGGTTAACAATAATAAGTTGGATTTGAATAAAGCTGCTATCGTTGGACATTCATTGGGAGCTCATGTCGCTGGATTGGCCGGACATGAACTAAATGGTGCTATTCATCACATTGTAGGTTAGTATTAATCTTATGTACTAAAAAAATAACAGGTAATTATAAAAACGTTATCAATGAGTTAATCAAAAACTCAGAAATTAATTTATTTTATCTAAGGAAAGAATACATCTTACAATACATGAGACTTGATTTATTCTACTTGTAAATGGCGTAGACTTATTGAAGAATAATGTCTTATTTTTATTAAACTTATGATAAAATATACTAATTGAATTTAAATCTTAGACATAACAGTATTAATCATATAAATTAAACTGATTATTTTGTTATTACTTTTAAACGCTAACCTTAAAGTTTTGTAAATTGAACGGGAAAAAACTATATCCTTAGCGTTTGTTATTGGTTTAGATTAATTGCAAATTGAGATTGTTTCTTTATCTAATGTAATAACAAGCTAGGATGACATGTTACACGCAAACGCAGTTTGTCCGGCACGATAACGCCTAGCTCCACCTAGGAAAGAAATCTAAACTACCAACTGACATTTTAATCTACTGAATTAATCATATTTTGGTGTTGATACAATATGTTTAATTAATAATACAATTAATATGAATTTTCTACATGAAAAAAACTCAGTCCTTAACAGATTGGCACAACATTTCAGCGAACATCTTAATATAAACGATATTGAAGGAGGTTACAACATAGGGAATCAACAAAATCTACAACGTAAACTACACAATGAAGACCCAACAAGAGAAAAAGTGTCAAATGCGATCCTAAAACTCAAAGACAATAAAGCTCCAAGAATCGATGAAATCTGTTCGAAAATGTATAAAAAAGGTAGTGATCAACTTTTTGCAGCAATCCATAAACTAATAGTACTTGTATGGCAGAATGAATGGGTACCAGAAGAGTGGCTAAAGGGAATAATATGTCCGTTGCATAAAAACGGTGATCAACTGGAGTGTAAGAACTATAGAGGCATTACTCTGTTAGCATCCGCGTGTAAAATACTCGGCAATGTATTGTTTGAAAGACTTGAACATTTTACAAAGGATATTGTTGGTCAATATCAATGCATATTTACTGCTAAAAAGTCAACTACACATCAAATTAAAACACATAGGCAGATTCTAGAAAAGTCTAGATTCTAGAAAATTTAAGGAGAAAACTTTACATTCTTTGACATTAATAATGGTCCAAGACAGAGGGACGCGTTGGCGTGTCTCCTCTTTAATATTGCCTTCGAAAAGGCAACCAGACAGTTAAATATTAGAATGAATGGAACTATTTTTAATAGATCGACTTAAATTCTCGCATTAGCTGATGATATAGGTATAGTAGGCAGAAGTATGAGAGACATGGTGCAGTGTTTTACAAGGCTTGCAGACGCAGCAAGTGCAGGTTCATCTTTTTAGCCCAATTTTGTAGTTCTTCGCCATTGGAGTCTGTTTCGTTATACCCCCACACGATACTGTGACAGTTGAAGTCCCCCAGTATGAATTTTATTTGCTGTGATTGAAAGTTATCCGGTTCCTCAAAAACAAAGTCAGCTTTTGGCGGTTTGTAGATGGACGTTACCGTAGAAGATTTTAGTTCCACTGTGAGAATCTTGATGTCATCTCGATATGTTAAAGATGTGGAAACTATGTTGGTATCTTGCGCTACCATACTGGTCGTGTGGTTTCTCCAGTACAAGTCTCATACCTTGAATCCTTGGTCTGCAGCTTGCAGTACCTCGATGGGTTTCTTGAACCAGTAGGACACTGACACCGTGTTCTCTGCACATATTGGACAGTAGATCTTCTTTATTTGTTAATAGTCCTTCAATATTAATTGAGGTAGTCATCAAAAAAGCCTTTAGAAAGACCGTTTTGGTTGCGTTTGCATCTGTGTTGGTGCACCGGTGGTGAAAGGATTAGCCGACATTACTCGTTTTCAGAGGATGCCCAATTGCTTTAACATGTGATCACAATCTACGTGGAAGCTGCTTTCATGTCCACTATGATAATATTTCTGTTTCTATTTCGGGTATTCCTGTGTCAAGGATGTTTTTCAGGATTTGATTTGGGTTAGATTTTAAGAACTGGATATTTGGTATGGTTTGAACAAATTGTTTTATGGATTGAGAACCTGTAATATGATAGGCTACGACCATCTACGGCTAAAAATATGGCAAGATTTAATTAAGTTATGTATAACATCAATGTATTACTTCTAGAGTCAGTTTGGTGTAATTAAATTAAATTTTTATTTTTTATAATATAGTTGGAGTACCGAATACATGGTACCTTTTTGTTGAATTTAGTTATCGAATGATCAGACAAACAATTATCTAATAATTGTTTGTCTGATTCTTTTCATTGATCAAGGGTTCAACACTCTTAACCTTGTAATGAATTTATTAAAAGGTTTAAAAAGATTTTGTATTTTCGGTAAAATTTCTTTAAATCAATTTATGTTAGAACTTGATTTTCCTTTAAAATGTACTTAAAAATATAAAATTAGAAGTTTATGAATAAATTGTTCAGTTTTTTAATAATAATAATTTTTAATAAATTTCAATTTAATATAGGTCTAGACCCTGCTCTACCATGTTTCGATTACAACGATGTCGATCAAAGATTGGACCCTACCGATGCGAAGTACGTCGAGGTAATACATACGTGCGCAGGTTTCTTGGGCTTTGATGTAGACATTGGAGACTCAGATTATTACCCTAATGGTGGTAAAAATCAACCTGGCTGCGATTTGGATGTTGTAGGTAAGGAATTCTTCAATTTTTATAGAATAATTTATTCTTAGTACATACCGGTGCGTACTACTCAACGGCTTTGAGAGGATGAGCTGGTAAGTAGAAGAAGCTCTTTTGTCCTGAGATTGACAAAGCGGTCTCAAATATGGATCCACCAAGAATACCACCATGACATAAGGATGGAGAAGGCAAGAAGAATTCACTCTATTAAAGATCTTTAGGAAAATATCGAGGAATATCACCAATGAAGAGCCAAATCAAAAAGGCCTGAGTGCCTAGCGTCTCTTAAATAGGATAAGTGTGCGAAGAATCTCTGGGTAAAACAAATTAAATACAAATCATAGTGGACATGGATATACTATTATAATAGAGATACTTAGCTTCAGCGAAGTAAGATGGCCCAGTGCTAGACAATAGGCAGTATGATTAAACACATAGGTACTACAACCATAGGTCTCTAACTTTATTCCCTATAATAAAAAGTAATAATGTTATAGGAGAAAAACATAAAAAAACAGGAGATCGATTAATATAATATGTTTTGTCAAGAACAAGAGCTGGTCATCACAAACACCTTTTATCAACTACTACCAAGAAGACTTTATACATAGGGATCACCAGGAGACAACCAAAAAAATCTGTTAAGAAACTAAATCCATTATATTCTTGTTAACAAAAGATTTGGAAATGGGATTAAAAGAATAACTAATGCACTCATCTGATGGACTTCGACAACAATCTACTTCTTGTCAACGTTAATATTAAACTGAGAAAACAACAGAAAAAAGTCAAAATCAGAGACTAGATTTGTCAAAGCTTGAGGGTAAAAATGTCATCAACAAATAAATGAAGCAATTGCACCAGCATTTGGAAGAAGCACAGAAGCTTCAAAAAAAGATATTTACAATTCCTGGACGAAATGAGGCAGCAGTACTTAACGCTGATGAAAAGTTTGTGGGTAGAAAAGAACCAAGTGCCGAAAAAGACTGGATGACATCAGATATTACAAAACTCATAGAAGAAACATGAAAATACAAAATACGAATTAAGAAAGATACAATGAAATGAAGACACTAGTAGAAACACAGATCAAGGAAGCTAAAGAATTGTGGTTAATATTAGCTGTTACTCTAAATGCCGGATCTTCTAGCATTTATTCCACAAATGGTTCCATTGCTCCTGTAACAATCTTTCTTTAGTTAATATTATCTCTTCCAACCGGGTTTTATCGCACTAATGACAACCAGTAAGTCATAAAGATGTATTTGCGCTTACCTTCCACCCTTTTATACATTTTTCCATCATATCATTTGGAAGCATGCTTTTAAGGGACTGGAAAACCAAACAATCGCTTCCCTAGGATGATAAAGGTCATTATGCAAAATGAACATGAAGCCAAACATATTTTGAAGAACAAAAAAAAACTTTTACAAAACGTCTCTTTAAAAAACGTTTCCATTATCGACGATAAGACTCCAAATCAAATAGAATGCCTAAAAGAACTTCGAGTGGAACTGGAACAGAGAAAATCGAATGGAGAGGAAAATTTAACCATAAAATATATACAAGGTGTCCCGAAAATTGTAAACTTTCGTCACTAATTCTGATATTTCAGGTTTTCATAATTGGCTCTGTTTCTATACTAATCTAGCTACTTTAAATTCCAAATTTAATGAATTTTTATGCAACATTCAAAACCTAAATCCTCAAATAATTCTTATCACTGAAACATGGTTAACACCAAATGATCCTGACTCCCTTTATAACATTGATAATTATTCCCTTTATAGGTGTGATCGTCGTAATCGGCGTGGAGGAGGAACTTGTATCTACTTGTCTTCAGAAATTACTAATAATTTCTCTGTTACATCTATTGATATTACTGTCCCTAATATGGAACTTCTTGGCTTAAAAATATGTCATAAAAACTCTTTTGTTTTTCACCTAGTATGCGTTTATCGGCCTGGTGATTCTAGATTAGCAGATGATGAGTCCCTTATCGCATCACTTGATGAACTGTCTAGGCTAGAGAATTTAATTGTTATTGGAGACTTTAATTTTAGAGACATTTCGTGGCCTATAACTGATCCACCTAGTGGCTTAACAACTTCCAAAAACGCATTTACAGATTTTGTACTAAATTCTAATTTACATCAATTCATAACGGAGCCGACTCGTTTCAGAATCAATAATTTACCATCTATTTTGGACTTGGTATTCTCTAATGATCCCCATTTATTAACACATCCCTTAATTATCTCTCCAGTAGGTAACTCAGATCATGCAGTCATAACGTTTCATATTCAGTTTAACTTACAGTACTGTACTCCTAATCCTAATGTTAATAAAACGGTATATGAAATAATTGATTTTGAAAATGCAAATCGCCAACTGACCGACATTGATTGGAATGATGTTTTCAGCGACATAAGGAATCCAGTTGTATTCTGGGATAAGTTTTTACAGGTTGTTAATTTATGCAAAAAACCAAAATACCCTCAAAAAAACCATATACAAAAATAACATAAAACCTTGGATTAATGGGGAATTAATATATCTGATCAAGTATAAAAGAAAGTTGTGGAACAAATATAGACGTACAAATCGCATAGAGGATTTACAAATTCATCGAGACTTTGCCAGAGATTTAAAGAAATCTTTACATGAAGCTCGTGTTGCCTACGAAGAGAGTATAGCCATCAGTAATAACTGTAAAAAATTGCACAAGTATATTAGATCTTCGTTGACAACAAAAGTTTCTATACCTTTACTGGAAAATGATAATGGGGATATATCCCAAAATAACTATGAGAATGCCGAACTTCTCGCCAGTACTTTCTCCAAGGTTTTCTCTGTTGAACCCACTAATTATCAGTTCCCTAATATTACTTCGTCACGAGTTTCTTCTTCTCTTGAAAATATAATCATTACTCCTGAAAAAGTTAAACATCATCTTCAAAGCCTAAAAAATAATTCGTCTCCTGGTCTCGACTTAATATCTTCTTTATTTTTAAAGAAATGTTCTGATGCTTTAGCTTATCCACTATATGTGATTATGTCCCTATCAACCACACATATTTTGCCTCCTATATGGAAAACCGCATCTGTAACACCGATCTTTAAAAAAGGGAACAAACTGGATCCTAATAACTATCGTCCTATCAGCTTAACACCTATAATATCTAAGATAATGGAAACTATTATTGCCGAGACAATTTCTGATTTTCTGCAAAATGAACTGGTTATACCAGAACAGCAGCATGGTTTTGTCAAAGGACGTTCTACAATGACAAATCTTCTCTGGTGTGTCAATGAATGGTCAAGAGCATTAGACAGAAAAGCCCCGGTGGACATTATATACCTCGATTTTGCTAAAGCTTTCGATAGAGTTCCAAAACGAAGACTATTACATAAATTGGAACACCTTGGTATCCGTGGTCAACTACTGAAATGGATCGACGCGTATTTAACAGATAGAAAATTTTGTGTTAGAGTTGGGGACTCTTTCTCAGTTGAGAGAACGGTTTTAAGTGGGGTACCGCAAGGATCAGTTTTGGGCCCACTCTTATTCATAGCATACTCAAGTGATCTACAATTTCATATTAAATGCAACAATGCTTTCTATGCAGATGACACGAAGCTATTTTCCGATCCCTCCGTAAATTTCCAGTTACTACAAGATGACCTTGATTGCATATCGGAATGGTGCTCTACCTGGATGCTGCCTCTTAATGTGGAAAAATGTGTAGTTCTTCACATGGGTAAAAATAATCCGTGTCTTCCTTACTCTATTAATGGGCGCGTGTTAAAAACAGTGAAATCGCATAATGATCTAGGCGTTATAATTAATAACAATCTAAGTTGGTCGGAACACATTTTGCATATTTCTAAAAAAGCTAACAGTAAATTATATCTACTAAATAAAACGTTTGCGAAAATGTCATTTATGAGCTCAATTCATCTGTATAAACTGTACATTCGTCCAGTTCTGGAATATTGCGGAACTGTTTGGTGTCCAGTATTAGTGCGCGATCGTAATATTCTCGAAAACGTACAGCGGCAGTGCACCAGGATGTCTTTTGGTCGCTCAAGACCTACGTATACAGAAAGACTGAATATGGCCAATCTCACTACATTTGAACAACGTCGACTTCGAGGCGATTTAATTATTACGTTTCGGATAGTAAAATACAACTTTGGAAATTTGGGGAATATGTTCATAATAGACAATGACAATCGTCTTCGTGGCCACAAACTTAAGTTTAAAAAGGAAACTTTTTTAACAACAACCAGACAATTTTTTCTCTGTAATCGAGTGTTCTCGATATGGAATAGCCTTCCGGCTGAGATCATAGATGCTCCATCTGTCAATATTTTCAAAAATAAACTGGATGACCTTTTGTTCCATAGTTGAACATTTAATTTGTACTAAACACTTGCTATTACCTATGTTATTGTATATTCATTTAGTTAGTTAGTGCTTAATATGTAACTACTGTAATGTAACAATTTAATTGTACACTATATAACATTGTAGTCACATGGGCATATGGGTTTTGCAACCCCTGCTCAAATCTATTGTAAATAATAATAATATAATAATAATATATTTATTTTTTTGTACCAATAAAAATCCATCCACAAATTCATTAATTCCCTAAAACTTTTAATCTTTTTTTCTATCTTTTTGTTAAATGCTTTGTATATAAACTTTGAATCTGCATTTGTGCAAACTATTTGTCCGGATAAATCAATCAAATTTACTCAGTTTTACTTTGAATGTGATACTTATTTAATTTACAGGAATTTGTAGACACGGTAGATCATATTTATACTATTCGGAATCTCTAATTAGTGGAGGATTTGCTGCAAAACAATGCAATAGCTACAAAGATTTCAACAACAATCAATGTAATGCAGGAAGATCCAATATGGGAGAATATAATATCAACACAAGGTAAGAATTTTAGTATGTACAGACTAATTTATTATTTTTTTTTTTTGTTAAACATACCATAAAATCTATATGAACTCTCAATGTACATCGGTAAATAGTTGAAACCATTGAAAATATGGCACGAAAGTTTGGATTTTGTGAAGGTTTTGGAAGAAGAGAAGCCTTATTTAGTATTCAGGTCCTAGTATATCGCCCTAATGATCTTTTGTGTCCTAGTGTCAATATACGCTTGTTTAAAAAGGTCTTCGATCATTTTCAATACATAAAACTTCTGGTTCTCTTAAAGAGGTTCTATGGTACTGGTACTATGACATGTTGGATTTCAGATTTTAATATTATTAGAGCTTCCTCGTTATCAATTTGTGTTGGTTCCATTCTTGTGTCCATGATAAGATCTTCAATATATTTAGTTCATACTTGTTTTATTTCAATTGGGTTATTAATAGGCTTATTGTTGTTGTCAATTAATCGGTTAGATGTATTTGTTCGTGATTTTCTAGATAATTCTTTCACTTTTTATGTAAATTGTAATGAGCATGCTTTTTCTGCAATTCTTCCACTTCGATGCATGTCTCCATTATCCCCTTTTCCTTAGCCTCTTTTATTTTGTTTCTTATTAATTTATGTTTTTCTCTCTACTTATTTGGGATTTTGTTTCTATATTTTCTTCTTTGTTCCATGATTTCCAGTATTTCTTGAGTGATCCAAGGTTTTTGGCTTTCTGTTTTCTTTCGTGGAGTTTCTTTCTGTGTTTTTATTTCACATAATGTTCACATTTTCAGTGTTTTTCAAGTAACTGAATATTCACCTTAGAACTTTTGGTTTTGATTATCTTTTTTTACGCCCAGTTTTCATTTTTGAGACAAGGAGAGGTTATGATCTGAGGGAACATCTGTTCCAGGAAAAGTCTAAACGCTTAAAATGGAATTTCTAAATCCTAGATTGGTTACAATAAAGTCGATCTAATTGCTAATGCAATTTTGTTTATTATCCTGTGGTGACCTCCAGGTATACAGTCTGAAGGCAAATACGAACTCTTAAAACTAATAAAGAAACAAAGATCGAAGGAAAGAGTGTTTCATGTCGTAGGCGACCTTTCTGACTAAAGAACCTTAAAATGTATGGAGTAAGCATAATTTTCTTTAAAAAACTTCGTCTTCTTCTTAAAGTGCCCTCTCCTCAATGGAGGTTGGCTACTACAATTTTAAACTCTTCTCTATCCTTCAGCTGTTCTTATTAGCTGTTCAAAATTTAGCCCTGTCCATTGTCGGATGTTTCTGAGCCACGATAGTCTTTTCCTTCCTAGCCTCTCTTTCCCTCGATTTTTCCTTTCACTATAAGTTGGGCATATTGGTACTTATTATTTCTCAGTATGTGGCCTAGGTGTGATGTTTTTCTAACTTTTACTGTGTTAAAAAGTTCTCTTTCCTTGCCTATTCTATGCAGCACTTCTTCGTTTGAGGTATGCGATGTTCCATGAAATTTTGAGTATTCTCCGGTAGATCCACATTTCAAAGGCCTCCAATTTATTTACGGTTGATGTTTTAAGGGTCCACGTTTCAACTGCATATAGAAGAGTCGACCAGACGTAGCATTTTGATAAACGTAGTCGAATTTCGAGTTTTATTCGAGAATCACAAAGCAGTTTTTTTATTTTTTCGAAAGATTTTCTGGCCTGTTCTATTCTCGATCTTATTTCTAGATCAGGATTTAGGCTGCTATCGATCCAACATCCCAGGTACTTAAATCTATTGACCTGTTCTAAAATGTGCCCATTTATTGTGCAAGGTTGAGGTACGTTTTGGTTTTTTCGGATTGACATCACTTTGGTTTTTTAATGTTTATTTTCATACCAAATTGCTCACAGGTCGAGTTGGTCTTGTCGATGAGTCGTTGTAGACCTAAGTCGGAATCCGCAATTAACACTGTATCATCGGCGTATCTGATACTGTTGATATTTACGCCATTCACATTGACTCCATCCTTGGAATCCTCCAATGCTTCTTTAAATAGAAACTCGGAGTAAAGATTAAACAGCAGAGGCGACAGAACACATCCTTGTCTAACTCCCTCCTAATTTCTACTTCTGCGGATGTGGAACCTTCGATCCTAACTCTGGCGTTTTGGTTCCAGTACAAGTTTTTTAAGAATTTGATGTCTTTTCCATCTAAACCGACTTCTTGCAAACGTTCTAATAGTAGGTCGTGTCTTACTCTATCAAATGCTTTTTCGAAGTCCATAAAGCATATAAATATATCTTTCTGTTGGTCGTAGCATTTTTGGGCGAGAACTAGTAAACTGAACAGGCTTCTCTCGTTCCCATGCCGGCTCTGAATCCAAACTGATCGTCTCCGATGATTGTTTCGCACTTTCTATAGATATTATTTATATAGATATACTTTCTATAGACATTTATTTAAAAAACTAAAAGTTTTTTTATAAATCCTAAACCGTTTCAAATATTACATAAATTGTAATATGTAAAGTGAGTGCAAATCGGGAAAGAAAAAATAAGGTAGTTACAGAATTCGTATACCCTTCGACTGTTGTATTATCTCTTTTAAAAGTCGTAGAAAACTCTAAAATAAATATAAAATATTGATTGAAACATTCTAATTGATTTTTTTTATTTTTAGTGCCAGAGGCGGATATTACCTCAACACAAATAGTAAATCACCATATGCTCAACATTGATATAAATTTATAAAAGGAAAAAATAAAAAAATGTATAATTAAAAAACAAATAATAAAAAATCCGTTATTATTAACTCGTTTTATTACCTGCACGTAGATATATACTATTTCTTCGAAGATAAGAGCGTTGAATTAAAGCTGTTTTATCAGTGGACCAAAACATAGGGACAGTGTTTTCTCTGTTATTTACTGACAAAATGTCTCGAAATTTGGACACGTTATTCGAAATTATGTTGCCTTTAAAACAATGATTTTATTTTTTTTATTTTTTTGAAACTTCTGTTGAAAAATTGGATTATACTGTTTAACCTTCTATTATAACGAAACTTTTTACGCCCATCACATGAAGAGTTTTTTTTCTGTAATCGTTGATTTTTTTCACCTTTCTGTGTCCAGTAATAATCGAGAAAAGCGTATTCCAACTTTGAAGAAAATTGCTAAAAAATACTGAAATCTAATATTGAAACGTGTCACTCATCATTGGCGCTTAGTTTCATCGTTATCGCCTCCGTGACGTCAAATCTCATGAACGTACGGTCGGTTAGTTTGTGTTAAAACTAATTTGAATGGAGAATAATGCATTTGTTGTCTTTAAACTACCCGTCGGTCAGCGCCACTGACTGAAGATAGTCTGGCATAAGCAGTGTAGAAAAGTAAGTGATACGTCCATTTCAAATCGCAGTGTGCTTTAACTGCTAAAACAGCCTTAAGAAACATCTAAATTTACATAAATAATAAAAATGTATGCTCTTTGCCAAATATTTTTTTTTCGTTTTGAGGCTTCTAAAATTATATCAACAGATAAATCAACATCGATAGATAAAAATATGTAAAGTGTGGAAAACCGTTCCATAAATCATGCATGGAACGAGATTGGGAAGAAAATCTTCGAATTTTAGATGAAACGCGTGTGATTTGTTGTGATTCTAACATAACCTTAAATAGTGGGGATGGCATTGTGATGATCATTTACCTGCTAAATGAACTAATTTGTAAATTAGGTAGTAAAAATCAAATCCTAGAGGAACATAATAAGCAGCTATGGGAAAAAATAAAAAGCATAGAGAAAAGTTACCAAAAAATTCCATGGGGGTAAAAAATGCTGCAAAAACCTAAAAATAACAATAACAATCCATCTATTTTAAACGAGCAAAATGATGTGAAAGAGACTACAAGGTCGGTTGACGCAGTCACAGAACAGCAGCTTTGTTCTGTTGATTTGTTTGAGCTGCCACCTAAGCCAATAATATAAAGCAGTTAAATTGCACCCGTGACCCCTGTTAAAGATATCAACCGTCAGCTGATTGGAGATGAAAATGGTAAATGAGAAACACACAGAAAAGAGTTTTTTACAAAACAACTTGTCCAACACTTATTGAACGACCATATACACTCCAGTAAACCAATGAGAATGCTGAAAGTATCATGCGTGTGATCACAAAATATATGGCGATTTTCCTGTCACATTTCGATCCAAAAACGGAAGCTCAGGAAATACTTAACTATCTAAAAGAAAAAAAACTAGATGAAAACGTTATCTGCAAAAAAATGAAAACCAGGACATATAAGTACCAAAGATAATTTAAAATTAGTTTCAGAACTAAAAATACCTCATCTAGTGCAGCAAGAATTATGGCCGAGTGCTGTAAGTTTTAATTTTGAGAATATACAGAGGCACCCCAGTATCAAAAGACAGTCTACGACACACACCAAAAGAAAAAATCAGTAATCTATTTAAATACGCCATCAATTAAAACAAGTATTGATGAAATTAATTTTATCTTAGAAGATCACGATGAATGCTTTGCTCTTTGTTTAACTGAGCACCGGAAAACAGAAGAACAACTGCAGGACTACAATGTGCGGAATTTTAAACTGATCTCTTCATATTGTACAAGCAGTTCACAGAAGCATGGTAGCTGTGCGGTATACATCAAAGACACGTTTATTGCAAAAGAGTGGAAATATGTTTCTAGTTTATCAGAAAGAACAGTGTTTAAGTGTTCCGCTGCAGAGGTGCGAATTAATCAGAAGAAGATTGTAATCCTATGCACGCATACAAGGTAACAAGAAATCCTGTATAGATAATATTGTTACAAATCTTGACATATTTAATTCTGTTGTATTCAATCCTCATACATCTGATTATACTGCTCAAAAGGTAAAATTTGAATTAAATGAATTTGGGGTAAACTGGATTAACTGGGTATCTGTTTCTGAGACATTAGAGGTAGATAATCAGTGGTATGCTTTTATGGATATAGTTCAGACAATTTTTATTCCATGTTTTCAGCTAGTTGTTCTTTGTCGTTTGTTGTCGAGCAAAAAAACATGTTGCTCTTTAAGTATTGAAATCTTTATCCAATGTCATCGAACTAGGGTTACATTAGAATTTAAATTTTGAAACATGTAAAGCCATATATTGATGTCACTGCTACTATTTTGGTGTTAGCTTCAATTACAAAAGAAGGCACTGAGGATGATCTGAACTATATCGAAAACGTCACGTTATGCACCTGTATAAATTGTAGACGACACTTTTAAAAAAGTTTCAAATTATTTTTTTTATACCTACATACAAATTTATAGTGTTTTACTTCTGTATAAGTTTTTTAAACGATGATATACAGCCAACCACTGGAATTTTCCCAATAATTTTTAACTTATTTAGTAGTTCAAAGCATGGTTTTCTCGTAGGGAGATCTCTTGAGACAGCTACCTATGATTTTATATCAAAATTTTTAGAAAAACTAGAGGCAAAAATGAAAACACTAGATGCTTTTTTAAACCTATCTAAGGCTTTTTATTGTCAAAATTACATCTTTATGGAAAACAGGTACCGGCATTAAAATGGATAAAATAATTTCTCACAGATAGGTCGCAAAAGGTATGCCTGAAGAAAAGGGGATGTAAGGTTTACTCTAAACCAATCAATATAAAATTAGGCATACTACAGGAGAGTGTCTTGGTGCCTTTTCTCTTTTTGGTCTACATAAGCGACCTTCCAAATACGGTGGCAAGTAGTTCCTTAAACTTTGTAAATTTTGCTGATAACTCAAATGTGCATTTCTGGGAAAAAACTTTAGAAACATTTCTCACAGTGGCAGAGCAAATTCTAAACAAGGCTGAACAGTGGTTCAGTGGAAATCGGTTGTTGCTTAATACTTATAAGACAGTTTTTATCTACTTTAGAACCAGCCAGTCCCGAGAATAGTTTCAAGATACAATTAATTTTCTATCACAAAACACGGAACCTGCTAGATGAGTTAAATTTCTTGGTCTTCACATTGACGAGAATTTGAATTGGGGGGAAAAATTCAAAATACAACAAAAAAAAACTGAATAGAGCCTGCTACTAATTTACTTGAAATAATTTGCCCAATTTATTTCTTCAAAAATATTTCGCAATTTTGTGGATAACCCTCTTGATCATCTTATTTTCTGTTTCTTTTTTTTGATAAGTATACTAATATTTAACCTTTACGAATATTTTTCACAGCAAAACAATCATTACCTCTATAATAATTGCAGCTAATCTCAAATTTTAAAAAATGCAAGTATCTGAATTGAATTTTTGTATCATTCCTTACGTTTGGTAAGTGTCCTTTATAAGACTTAATTATCGCTGTAGATAAAGTAAGTTCTTAAAAACAGAAAATCACTAAAATTTCATACAACCCGTCTGCAACTCCTCTTCATAATTAAGGAATTATCCCTTCGGATTCTCCCTTTGAAGTGCATCGAAGTAAGCTAAGGAGTAAACAGTCGAATAACAGGTGGCTATGGATGAAGTTAAACAATTGAAGTGAACATCAATCAGGGTCTACTGTACACTTAGTCCAAACATAAATAAGAGAACAATCAGAAGACAACTCTCTTACCTCTATAACATCAAATACAATGTTCGGCAATAGTGGTGTTTAGTTACGGGGTAGTTTCGAATGGAGAAATTAGTTATATTGTTTAATGTGGGTTAATATTAAATATAGAACTGTGGACACTTTTATTTAATGGCAATCAATTATATATATACATATATATATATATATATATATATATATAATATATATATATATATATATATATATATATATATATATTGTTGTATTTTTGAATGTCCATTAGCAATAAAAAACCGATATACAAATTTTATTACTTAAATAAAAATTAAAATTATTGATATTTCATAAAGACACGGGCATATAAATTTTCAAACATCCTGTATAAGACAAAATATGTATTTTAAGTTGTTCGAAGAATTGTTCATTAGGCCTCAGAGACAAGACTTTCAAATATTATCGATAAGAAATTTAAATAAGTCGGTTATTGTGGAATGGATTTACCCAGAATAAAAGTGTGTATATAGACAGTGTTTAAGCAATAGACCGGGATTTGCGGTGGTTTTTCTCCCCGAAAGATTATATCGGTAAAAGTTTATTAACAAAAGACATTGAATTGAGAAACAGGTATCGTTTGTAGCTATTAGTAAGAAATATTTGTAAAGCAGATAGATTTAGTTAGAATAATTAAAGAATGTTGTTTTCTGGAATTACCCGAATGACGTTTTATAAAGAGAGTTGGTTGGTAACGATATACGTCACAGAGGTGGATGATTGTTATTGGTCAATTTTTGAATGCAATGGAGGTAGTGGTTTTGGCTATGAGATAGGAGAGAGGAAAAAAGTTAGTTAGTCAGTTTTCGTCGCCCAAGAAGGAAGGAGCTTTGTGGTTTGTGTTTGTTTGAAGTCCCGAAGACGTAATTTACCGGGTGTGTTTATTTGCTGTGTAAAAGCTGATCAGTGTGAGGAACGGGGTACAGAGAGATAGAAAAACCAAAGGGTATAAGAATATTAATATCAGACGAAGCCGGAAACATTTGAAGTTATAAACAGGCGCGGAGATTCGCTCAAAAGGAGGCTGCATAGAATTACACGAGTTGTTGGGTTGCAGATACAAGGACAGATAGGAGAAAGGTGTACGTCATCTGGACCAAAATAGGAGCAGAAGCAGA